ACACCAAATATTGCTTAGCTTCGCAGGAGCTCTGGAAAACACGTCCTCTTTGTCAGCTGATAAGTAGGGTGTGTACTTTCCGGTGTTTATTTTTGAGAAAAATCGGCGGGTGTTTTTCGGTGTTTATTTATTTTCAAAACACCGGTGTATTTCGGTGGAACGTCTCACGACCAGGCTAAAATCGGTGAATATCGGTGAAAAAAAAGTGATTGATCACAGACAGAGAGTTCCAATTTTATTCACATAGTTCATACACTTCTTCCCTAGGAAGCAACTATTTCTAACACTTGGTTATTATAGTAGATGTAAGCATACTTTCATGCTTGCATCTACACGCAAGGAACATGCTGCCGTCATGGCAGCACGTACCTTGCAGTTCGCAACCCGCAATTATGAAAACGCACGCTCCTGTACGACACGGACGTTGGCAGTGTCTTCCAGGAACCACAGCAACCTCTGAATACATGGCTTGCACCGACATCACTTGGCCAGACACAATGTGGAAAAGGCACGTGAGAGCCTACCCTCCACTGTGTTAATTTTTCCACAAAAGGGGGCCATGGGAGACACAATAGGGGAAAGGCGTATAAGAGCTTAGCTTCCACTGCGTTCACTAGACGCTTTTGACCCCCAGAAAGGAGTGCGGACTGACGCCACCTGCAAGCCATGTATATAAACACTGGAATAATGCAGGATCCACGAGATAACACGTTTGACGAACCTCTACGGGGAAAGGGTTTCGCTAGGTCGGAAACGTGCAACGACCGGTGTTTTTCCGTTTTAACCAGGGCGAAAATATCCAACCACCGGTGTTTTTCGGTTTTAACCGATTTTATATTTTCGTCACCGACGGATGTTTATCGGTGTTTTTCGGTTAAAACCGGAAAATACACACCCTACTGATAAGCAGCTGACTTGGTGAGACATATTGATGCCTATTTCGGAACCCAGAAAGGGAAGGTAGTGAGCTTTGGTAACAGCACACTCATTCGTGTTTTATTTTTCATGTCTTGTCATAAAATAGAACCAAAGATTTTTTTTTTTTACATTGCTCGGCTGCCTGAGGTTGCAAATATTTGTACAAAACATGGGAGTGCACAGCAGTATACTTCCTTCATACTTGGCGATGTCGAATTTAAAAATTGTCAAATGGTTCATTAAAGTCAAGCTTTCATGAAACAATTTTTTTATATCATTATTAGTATTTGATGTGTACAGCAATAATGGACCTCCTTTCTTAATGCATATTCCAAAGCTGAAATTACTTCTCTTAAAGGGGCGCTTGGGAGCTTTCTAAGACGGCCTATTTATGGCCGTAACACATTCTATGTGCTCTAAGCGTCCCAAATATTTAAGTTTAAATCATGTGCAGCTTAGTTCACTAATAAAAATGTGATAAAAGATAGTGAATCTCAGGCATAGAAATGGCGGCACTGAACCCGGCCGAATGTAGGTGAGCAACGAATGGGGCTTATCAGACAATCACAAGCGATAGCTTCACGTCCGGACAAGCAGCCAACCAGCCCTGCTCGTCTACACAAGAGGCCCTCGCTTGCAATTGACTGAGAAGTGTCTTTCGCCGTTCCACCCTATTCGCCTTGGTTCGGTTCAACCGCATTCGCTATCTTTGATCACATTTTTTAATAGTGAAATAGGCCACACATGATTGTAAGTTTCGGACTTGTGGGATGTTAGAGCACATAGGTTGAGTTAGGAACATAAATAGGCCATCCTGGAATACTGGAGAGTGCCCCTTTAATTTATTTCATTTTTTATATATATCTACAGTGCAGCATTTCAGTGAAACAAAGCAGGAACATAATTGCAGACGAAAGTGGAGAGTCCATTTGTGTTGCCTGTATTTCTCCACTTTTTGTGCATTTTCTTGACAGTGTTACTCACTGCAGATTCATCTTGGACCTGGCATCAAAATGCGAGAGGCAGCATTTACACTCGCCGTGGAAAACCCTGCCACTCCTGGCCGGTCTCTCAGAATGGTCAGCCGATCACTGTGGGAACCTGCGGAGCTCTTCAACAAGGGTGTGTCAGGGCAAGCCTGCAGGCGTCTCCTTTAGGAGGGTGTGGTGGGAAAACAGCCCCTACCACACCAGGTGGGTATTTCTGATCAACCTGGAAGGGCACAGCATCTGTTGTGGCTGCTGTGCTTAGCTCTGAACAAAAAAAAAAATTTGGTTATGGGGATATTTATACAGCGTGCGGTTGGTCTGCCATTGAAGTTGCGACGAGTCACACACTATAGATGAGCAGCGTGTGGCTCGTCGCAACTTTAATGGCAGACATTTTGTTTGTATAGTGTGAGTTATGAGTTACTATGATTTGAGATTTTTATGAACCTATTGTTGATTTTGCCTTGTGCAGCACACATGTACAGTGAGAGGCACTAAGAGGTCAGACAAGGTGAATGTGGACAGAGCAGGAGAAATGCCACTTGGGGTGCAACGCTTTCTTTGCACACTGGGAGCGAGTCTATGATGTTCTATCTACAGTCAAACCTGATATTATCGAACCTGGTTAATTTAAGGGCACATGGTAAGGTAAAATTGAAAAAAAAATGATTTTAGTTTTTTTCGCAATTTGAAAAGTTTAGTTCTTTCTGCACATTTTCCATTGTCCCAGTGTTTTTGGAAAGCTATATTTCGGGCTGAAAATCACTTCTTCCGAAAGCAAGTAGCAGGTGACTACGCCTCCTTTTGGGATACACTCCCTGTTTATCGATGAATTCTCCAACAAAACAAAATCAACACGAGACCTAAAAGCTTGTCCAGTAACTGATAATCTAAAAAAATTATTTCGCAACTATTGCATAGCTTTTTTTCAACCAAGACAATCACGAGACGCTGTGCACGTTTTTCCCAGGTGTGTAACGTGTGTACATTCAAGTGTTTGTGTTTTCATAACGACAAAATGGCACCATTGTATGCTGTTCCTTTATTCAATGGTGGCAGCGTTGCACAAGCCAATGTTTTGAAGTTTTGTGGATGGAACCCTGTTTGGAAAGCCATCAAGTGGCTGAGGGAAGTTGACATCAGTCTAATATACTTTACGGACCAAGCGATATGGCGGGTCACAAAAGAGGCCTGGCAAGCAAGGCGATAAGCTTAAAGGCGAAGATATTGTCATGGTCATTGCCGGACAAAGAGTGAAGAGAAAAAAGAGGACGGAAGGGAAGAAAAAAGAGGACGAGGGGCTCGTGAGAGAGAGCGGCACGCAGGGGCTCGGGACAGTCGAAGCCGAATCGCAGACCGTCCGGGACGAGCACCCTCGACCTCCGTCGGGGTTCCCAGGCTCCGAGAGGCGAAACATCGGCTGAGACTCGAGCACACAGCAACGACCTCCGTTGGGGTGCCCAGACCCCGAGAGATACGATTGGGCTGCTTCCAAGCGCTCGAGGCGCCGGCCCGTACGGGGTCGACTCAGCAGCGCGGAAAGCAACCGGCGACAACAATCTGAATCTTCAAGCCCCGGACTCCGTCCGACTCGCTGACCACCCGGCTACCCAAGTGACTGACTGCTCGACCCGAACGACTGACCGACTGCCCTCCGACCCTCTGACCACTCGACCACCTATAGCTGACTGCCCGACTGCCTGCTCCCTCAACAAATCAACGACGTGCGCGTTCAAGTAAAACTTTTGTGCTCTAATAACTCTAACGCATTTAACATTGTACATATTCTTTTTATTCAATCTCCTTTTGTTGCCCAGTGAAAGCTTATTTAGCGCATCCAAATTGTCTCCGTGTGATTACTTAACACCCCTCAATCACAACAGACATGACAATTTGGCGTCCGCGACAGGACGGAGACACTTTGGATCGTTAGGAGGTATTTACAAAGCAATGGATTTAAAAGATATTGTAGAAGTTGGCAAGGCATTGGGCCTCCAGGCCGATGAACTAAAAATGTGGGCGGAAGAGAAATATGCGCATGAACAGGAGGAAAAAGCCGCTGAGAGAATCGCGACTAGAGATAAGGCAGAGAGAGAAGAGAGGGTATTGCAGTTGCGTATAAGGCTAGCTGAAACGGCGGCTGCGGCAACCACTCCTGAAGCCTCAGAGGGACATGGCAACGGGAGAATGAACTCCGCTCATCTCTGTCCCCGGAAGCTCATGCCTCGTTTTGACGAAAGGAGGGATGATCTCGACGCATACTTGAAGCGTTTCGAATGCATAGCTGGGGGAGAGGAGTGGCCAGAAGCAAAATGGGCGACAGCTCTGAGCATGTGTCTTACAGGAGAGGCGCTGAAGCTGTATGGTAGACTATCCCCACAGGATCCGTTAAGTTATGAGGCAACTAAGAAAGCTCTTCTTGATAGGTTTCGATTCACTACAGAGGGATATAGGGAGAAATTCAGGAGTTCGAAACCCGAAGAAGGGGAAATGGCTAGTCAGTACGCCGCCCGACTGCAAGGTTACTTTGACAGGTGGATGGAGGTAGGAGAGACGCCTTCAACGTATGAAGCGCTTCGAGATAAGATCTTGACAGAACAATTTATGTCACAATGCCACGCGAGGCTCATGGTTTTCTTAAAAGAGAGAGATTGTAAGACGCTTAAGTCAATGGTTGAGGCCGCCGATCGATTTCTGGAGGCACAACAACAGAAGAATCGATCCTCCTTCAGAGATGATCCGAAAGTCGCGTCGCCGAACAGAGTAAGCTCAGACCAGTCAACGTTTTCTAAGCCGAAGTGTTTCTTATGTGGAAGGCTAGGCCACAAAGCGCCTCAGTGCCGAAGCGGGTACAAACAAAAGATTCCTTCTTGCCCGATCTGCCGAAGGGAAGGACATGACACGAAAGATTGTCCCAAGAAACGTCAAGATAGGCCACAAATATCGTGTTTTGTTGGTCCGGTATCGGATAAGAGCACAGTGACCTCATCAGTGCACACCACAGAGCAACTAAACCCTCCTCCTATCCAAGATGGCGAGACTGGGCTAATTAGTGCAGTCCAGGAACAGACGAGATCGATCGAAGCTAACAATATGCCTGTCGTACGTGGTTTGCTAAACCAAAGACCGGTCAGTGTGCTGCACGATACAGGCAGTAACACAGTAATCGTTCGAAGTAGCCTAGTGGAAGATGCCAATCTCACGGGTAAAACGGGGGTTGTGATTCTCGTAAATGGAGCGCCATTGCAATTGCCAGAGGCGAGAGTGAAACTCTGCTCCCCGTATTTTACTGGAGATTTACTCGTGAAGTGCATGGACGCACCGCTCTACGACGTAATTGTAGGAAACGTTGAGGGAGCCCGAAGAGCCGATGAACCCGATCTTAATTGGAATGGACAAAAGATGCAACCAATCTCAGAAGGAGAGATGACTGATACCCAAAAGGACTCGATCGATATGAGCAATGTATCAGCCGCACATAGATTGATCCCTTCGGATAAGACGAATGCATCTAGCGAAGTAAAAAGGGAAGAAGTTACCTCTGAGCTACTAAAAGAGAGGCAGAAATCTGATGACACGTTGCAGGTTTGTAGAAACAAAATAGGTCAAGTGTACAACACGAAGGATGGATCGAGGTACAACTTTTACATATCGAAAGGGGTACTCTGCCGACGATTCGAACAACAGGGTGGAAAGTCGTTCAAGCAGGTGGTCGTTCCAACCCCACTGAGACGTTATGTTCTAGAGGTGGCGCATGATAGTGTGATGGCGGGCCACCAGGGGATCAAACGAACCACTGACAGAGTATTAGAGGCTTTCTATTGGCCAGGAGTCCAAGCTGACATTAAGAGGTATGTCAGATCATGCGATACGTGCCAGAGGGCCATTCCGAAGGGGAAACTAAAAAGAGCACCACTTGGGCAAATGCCAGTGATTGATACTCCGTTTGAGAGGGTGGCCATGGACCTAATAGGTCCACTCCCAGTTACCTCAGATAGCGGAAATCGGTACATCCTTACGATGGTGGATTTTGCAACAAGATATCCCGATGCCGTTGCTTTACCATCGTGCGATACGCGCGCCGTCGCGGAGGGATTACTAGAGATTTTCTCCCGAGTGGGTTTTCCCCGGCAGATCTTAACAGATCAAGGCACAAGCTTCACATCCGGATTGATGCACGAATTGACAGAACTCCTATCGATTCAGAAATTACAAACCACACCCTATCACCCGATCTGTAATGGATTGGTTGAAAGGTACAATGGCACTTTGAGACAGATGTTGACCAAGATGAGCCAGGAGAAGCCGCGCTCTTGGGATCGGTTCCTAGCGCCTTTGCTATTCGCGTACCGCGAGGTGCCTCAAGCTAGTCTAGGCTTTTCCCCGTTTGAGCTCATTTACGGCCGCCATATTCGAGGACCGCTGACGATCCTAAAGGAGGTGTGGACTCGAGATGAACTAGGAACCAGCCTCAAGACGACGTATGGATTCGTTCTTGACCTGCGCAGCCGTCTCGAGAAAACTATGGAACTGGCTCACAAAAGCTTAGCATCAGCAAAAAGATACCAAAAGAAGATGTATGACAAGAAAAGTGGGAAGAGGGACTTGAAAGTAGGCGACCGCGCCCTGCTTTTAATACCTTCGAAGAAGAACAAGCTGCAATTGCAATGGAAGGGTCCCTACCGAGTGGTGAGAAAAAGGAACGAGGCCGATTATGAGGTTGATCTAGGACACGCCACCAAGAGCTTTCACATCAACATGCTCAAGCGGTATGAAGAACGCGAGGCAGCGGGCGCAGCCGAGCAAGTGTCGTCAGTGATAGCCATTGAGGACACAAGTGATCAACCACTTCCATGCCTTGACCTGAAAAGTGCAGAGGGAGTAAAGCAAGTGGCACTAGCTGACGATATCAGTCGAAAACAGCGGGAAGACATCACAGACGTTCTGGAGAAACACGCTAAAATATTTTCGGATGTACCGGGACGTACAAATCTCCTGGAATGCAAGCTGCAGCTGACCACAGATAAACCCATTCGTACGCCTCAGTACCCGATTCCGTTTTCCATGGAGCGCGTGATTGAAAAAGAGGTAGACGAAATGCTTAAACTAAAGGTAATTGAGAAGTCTACTTCTGCGTACTGTTCGCCCTTGGTTCTCGTAAAAATGCCAGACAAGACCTACCGTGTTTGCATTGACTTCCGCCGGCTCAACGGCATTCTAGTCTCCGAGGCCGAACCCATTCCCCGAGTAGATGCCGTATTCGCCGAGGTAGGCAATCGAGTTTATTTTTCTAAGTTAGACCTCTCCAAGGGGTATTGGCAAATCCCCCTTTCGAGTGACTCAAAGAAGAAGACTGCGTTTTCCACGTCGTCGGGATTGTATCAATTTAGGTACATGCCGTTTGGCATTAAAACAGCATCCGCAGTCTTTACGCGACTCATGCGAGAGGTGCTTTCAGGAATCGAAGGGGTCCGACATTACATCGATGATGTCTTGATTGCGACCGATTCCTGGGAAGAGCATGTCTCTGTACTCGAGCGAGTTCTTCAAAGGATTGAGGACGCGGGTTTAACCGTAAAGCCCAGCAAATGTGAGGTTGGAAGGAGGCAGGTCACTTTTCTTGGACATCGACTAGGGAACGGTGAGCTCGCCCCTGTTCCGGAGACGTTGGACAAGGTGGTAGGATCTCAGCGACCCACAACGAAAAAACAAGTGAGGTCATTTTTGGGACTCACCGGTTATTACCGGCAGTTCATTGCGAATTATGCAGAACAAAGTTTGCCTCTGGTTGAGCTGAAAACAAAGAAGGAGCCCAATAGTGTCCGTTGGACCGACAGGCAAGAAAAGGCCTTACACGAGTTGAAAAAGGCACTATCAGAGGGACCGATCCTCAAAGCGCCGGATCCCACCAGGAAGTTTGTACTTCGAACTGACGCTTCAGGTCGTTGTCTCGGAGCTATGTTAATGCAGAAGCACGAGTCGTTTTTGCATCCCGTCGCGTGCGCTAGCAGAAAATTGCTACCCAGGGAGAAGAACTATGCCACCGTTGAAAAGGAAGCTCTCGCTTTGGTCTGGGCCATTCAAAAGTTCCATCTTTATCTGTATGGCAAGAAATTCGTAGTTCAAAGTGACCACCAGCCTTTGCAGTATATAAACAAAATGAAAGCTTCAAATAGCCGGCTGCTGAGGTGGAGTTTACTTTTGCAGGAGTACGAGTTTTCAGTTGAGTATATTAAGGGAGTTGACAACGTGGGCGGTGACTACCTGAGCCGTGTGTAATATTCTTAGAATAGTGGTGGTGAATGGCATTATCTAGGACGTTAAGTCAAGATAGGGCGATGTGTATGGTTTCTGTACCAGTGATACAGAAGTGAAGCAACTGGCCAGTCGTATCCGTATTTCATTTCTTATGTTTTTTGTAATTTTGTGGAGTTGGTACGGCCTTACCTTTTCGGTATCGTTGATGACTTCAGTTGAAATTTTAGTGTCGTACAATATTTCAAAGTTAAATATAGCGTTTAAGGTGACCTTGTAAACAACCTGATTTGAGGAAATTTTGATTTTATTTGTTCGCGCGAATTATGGATTTTGAATTGAGTGTGCACACCGGGCCTCAGTTGTGTCTAGTTGTTTGACACCGAACTGAAACGTTTGTGCTGAGCTGCTGTACACTGTGCATTTTTCTGTCCGTAATCGACGCATGTAGCTTAGCTTTTTTTTCTCCAAAAAGAAAAAAAAAAGCTTGAAGAGGGGGCCTGTGTCATGGTCATTGCTGGACAAAGAGTGAAGAGAAAAAAGAGGACGGAAGGGAAGAAAAAAGAGGACGAGGGACTCGTGAGAGAGAGCGGCACGCAGGGGCTCGGGACAGTCGAAGCCGAATCGCAGACCGTCCGGGACGAGCACCATCGACCTCCGTCGGGGTTCCCAGGCTCCGAGAGGCGAAACATCGGCTGAGACTCGAGCACACAGCAACGACCTCCGTCGGGGTGCCCAGACACCGAGAGATACGATTGGGCTGCTTCCAAGCGCTCGAGGCGCCGGCCCGTACGGGGTCGACTCAGCAGCGCGGAAAGCAACCGGCGACAACAATCTGAATCTTCAAGCCCCGGACTCCGTCCGACTCGCTGACCACCCGGCTACCCATGTGACTGACTGCTCGACCCGAACGACTGACCGACTGCCCTCCGACCCTCTGACCACTCGACCACCTATAGCTGACTGCCAGACTGCCTGCTCCCTCAACAAATCAACGACGTGCGCGTTCAAGTAAAACTTTTGTGCTCTAATAACTCTAACGCATTTAACATTGTACATATTCTTTTTATTCAATCTCCTTTTGTTGCCCAGTGAAAGCTTATTTAACGCATCCAAATTGTCTCCGTGTGATTACTTAACAGCCCTCAATCACAACAGACATGACAATATGACTTTAGCAATGCCTTTCAAGCTGGCGGCTATTGAAAAAATGACTGTAAGGCTGTTGGTGCCAATAGAAATTCGTTATTCACCAGTTTTTTTTACTTCAAACTCAATTATCTCAAAACAGTGTTTTTTTAGCACATAGGTACCATTTTTCCTTAACCTGACATTATAGAGGGTTGATTTTCTATTCCTACCACATACATGGGTGTTCAAAAATACTGAACTAAAATTAAAAATGTGCACCTAGCAGTTTTTGAGTTACAAAGTTTTAATAGATGAAAAAAACTAAAATTTCAGTACTAGAATAAAAAAAATATTAAAAAAGCTTATTTTAGATTGGTTCAAATAACTCTAGTTCAGTGGATAAAACACAATATTTTGAACAAAATGATATATGCATGACAGAAATACTCTTAATAGTCACAGAGAAAACTGTTCCTCAACATGGCCTCAAATGCATGGGGAGTATAGGACTTACCTTGTGCCCTTAAACTATTTGTAAATGGACGGGTAGCTGCAATAAAAATGCATAGCGAAAAATGCAATTACATCGAACGAAAATTGCAGCGTCTCCCCATGGACCGATCTGCCAAGAGCACTGTTTAGCTCTGCAAGCTGGCTTTCCCCCAGCAGGAGAATCTTCCTTGGGGGAGAGCCAGCTTGCAGAGAAAGCTGGCTTTTTTTCTTTCGAGCAGCCGCGTCGGCCGCCCAGGAGTGAAAAAAAAAGTCTTGTGGGGGGAGAGGGTGAGCCGGTAAACGAAGAAGCGGCCACTATATAACTGCAGTCGGCGTCCCTCATGATGTACAGATGCCCCTTCGAGCGTGAACAACTTTTCTAAATGTGGCGTGCTTGTTCGTTGTCAAATTCATTAAAACTTCTAAAGAGAATTGCCCGCTTTATCAAAGTGGTAGACGGTTTTTTGAGAGTTTGATATAGTCAGGTCTGACTGTATTATGTTGCCCAGAGGTAGGCGAAATCAGATAAAACGTGGGAGGGCGGGCCGAGTGATAAATTGACTGATTATCAGGCTTGACACGACATAACCTCTTGTTTACTGTTGTAGTTGTGATTTTATTATTTTAAGGTTTTTTTATGAATAACTGCTCGTGTATTTTTTTTTATGCACTGCAGGTTTTATCACGCAATACCAACTTGCCGAAGCCATCATCTTAGCCATCCAGATGTGCTGGCAAAAGTGGCATGGAAGAAAAGAGCCATGGACAGCCCAGTCTGCATGAGAATGTTTAGGAGTGGTGCATGTTGGGAAAAAAATAAAATAGTAAGTTCCATTCTCTTTGTCTTTGTAGTTGTGTTTCATGGCAGAATGAACACCTAAACCATCAAAAAATTAGCAGTCTTTTTGCATAATTTGCTAGCTGTTGTCATCAGCAGTCCTTTCTGCATCTAAATTGTGCATGCATGACCAGGTCACCCCAGAAGACACTAGGTCGGCCGAATCACATCAGAACACGTCAAGACACTAGAACACGTCAGGATACTAGAACACGTCAGGACACTAGAACACACCAGGACACCAGAACACGCCAAGACCCGTGTCTGAATTTCCGCTCTGATGTAAACGTCAGAAACACACCAGACCCGGGCTGGTGGATTTTTCAATAGGGTGAACAAGGCAGAACCAGCTTGTGCTGCAGTGGCGTCACATAATGTCGAATGCACGTGACTTGCGACGCATTGGCGATGCCTCATGAAGCAACTATGATGGGTCAGACCCGCCGCTTTGCCTTTTTTAAAGCAAAATGAATATTATAATCAGGGAGCTGCACCAGTTATTTTAAGGTACTTTTTATTTAATATTGCAGATAAACAAGGAACAGCTGAAGTTATAAAGCATGGAATCATTAAGCAACGAAAACATCAAATCATCAACACACTCGCCATGAAGCGGTGGAACAGGGGGCGCACCACAGTAGCTCTCAGCAGTAAAGGCACACTTAGCAGTTGTCACAGCTGTGCAGTGGCTGCAATTACACCTGTGTGCCCTATTGAAAAATCCACCAGACCGGTTTGGTGTGTCCTAGTGTTTTCTGACGTAAACATCAGACCGGCCTGGTGTGTTCTGGTGCGCACAACAGACCAGCCTAACGTGTTCTGTTGTCCCCACCAGAACACGTTAGGCTGGTTTGGTGTGCCCATCGCATCATCCTAGTGTGGTCTGATGTGCGCATCAAAACACACCAGGCTGGTCTGATGTGCACAACACAGCACAACAGAATGGCTTGATGTGCACACTACGCCACACCAGACGGGTCTAATGTCCACACCAAGGCACACTAAACTGGCCTGACATGCACACCAGGGTGCCTCTGCTGAGCACACATTACGGATATATGTATGGTGTTGAACGAAAACATGTTTTCTTGTAAAATTATATAAGACGTACAGAGCTCAAACACCACATTTGATTTTATAAGGTGCTTAATTGAAGGGGCGATGCAACGATTCACTTCAAATAATATGTACTTTGCATAAGCATGTTGGCACAGTGTAACAAACGTTTACCTATATGCAATAGCCTGATGGAAAGAATACAGGTTTGCCTCGTCAACAATCGTCAGCAGCTTTTCATCAATGAAAACTTGAAAATATTTCAGTCGGCATTTGACATCATCAGAGGCGCAAACATGGGTTCCGCAGGCTCCAGAAAACACCGGTCTTCTTTTCCCCA